TTCGTTAACTACTCTGAGATACGCCACTGCTCCATACGCCTTTGGGCTCGCGTCCGCAAAAATGTGAAGTGAAACTTCGGAGTTTCTGTCTTCGAGTGCACATCTGGTAAACGAAAAATGTTTCAAAGATTTCAGTTCAAAACACCATCTCAACCATTCATTGGTGATATTATCAGGTGTGGTTGAATCCCAGTCGACCTTAAGTTTCCAAATTTCTTGGAGCAATATCTTATTTGCTCTTACCAAAAAGGGACTCATAAAGCCAAGTGGATCATAAATTTTCGATACTATTTGTAGCACCCCACGTTTCGTTATAGATTTATTATCGATTTCATATAAAACTGAAGTTATATCTACTGCTAACTCGTCATCGTTATGGTACCATAAAATTCCAAGTACTTTCTTGGCATTAACGTTTTCCTCGCGTTTCATCAATTTTCTGAGCGAAACGTCATTGCTGTTCCACTTACGTAAATTCATATTAGCTTTAGCTAAAATTTCTTTGGACTCTTAGTAAATACGTTCGGCTTGAGTTACGTTATCAACTGCTACTACCAAGTCATCCACATAGAATGAAGACCTCAAAATTTCGCAAGTGTCTGCTAGATTTTCCGGCTGCGATTGTAAAAGTTTCTTAAGTGTAACCGCCAGCAAGAAGGGACTGCACTTAATCCCAAACGTTACACGTTTCATTCGGTATTTTGATATTCGTGGAAGATTATTGACGTCATCAATAGGAACGCTATACCACAAAAAACTGTGAGAATTACGATCGCGTTCTGCTATAGCGATTTGCAAGAAAGCTTTCTCGATATCGGCTGTAAATGCAACTCGTCCGACACGAAAGTTCATTAAAATTCGTAAAAGAAACGGCACTAAATTTTCGCCTTGCAAAAGTACGTCATTTAACGAAAGCATACCAGGGGCGTGCGCCGACGCGTCAAACACGATCCTTAATTTTGAAGTGTCTTTGTCATCCCGATATACCGCCCGGTGCGGCATAAAATAAATTCGAATGTCATTTGTCACTTCCGGTAAAAGTTCGGCACAATCATTGTTCATGTATTCACGCATCGCACAATCGTATTCCCGAAGTTTGCCGCGTTCGTTGAGTTTGCGCGTTAATGACTTTAGCCTATTGAAGGCACCGTTAAAATTAGAGTCAACCCGTACGTTTAGCTCTATCCAAGGCATGGCAACACAATATCTATCGTTTTCAAAAGTTATATTCTCATCTAAAAAGTGTTTAGTATGAGATTTGTCCGTCACGTTATCATTGTTTATCCCGATTGTTTCAAGAGTCCAAAAGTTTTCTTAACCCGTTACCAACAGTCTCACAATCGAGCTCGCACTGTACGTGTAAAATGTTCGCCACGTTAATCCCGACCGAAAACGCATATTCGTTAAAATGTCCGCTGCCTACACCGTGAATTGTCCAACCAAATTTGGTTTCGATCGCCATCAAGTCTTCAGTGATTTTCTTCGTGTTATTGGTCACTATTTTCCAATAAAAATCAGAACCAATTAAAAGCGATATTCCATGATGAACGTTAACGTTAGAGTAGCACAAATCCGCTAATCGATAATTTATGCTGAACTCATGTATCAATGGTTCTTTTAATGACGGTGCGCTCAATGAATCAAAACAAATTTCGGGCACTTCAATCGCGTTGAGAGTCACCTCATCGTTAATATACTCGCTTTTCAACGTTAATGATACTTTTCGACATAAGCGAGCCGGAGCCCTTTCAGATTTTCCAAAAGGCATTATCGATATTTTGTGTGTCCCTATAACAGGTAAGTTATGCTTTCGTGACACACATTCTTTGATAAAAGTTAAATGGCTACCTCCATCTATAACCATACGTAAAAAACTCTTAGGTAGGCCACTGTTCGTTATTATTTGTGCACAAGCGGTTTGTAAATAAATTATTTTGCCTAAGCACCCGTTCGCTAACAAATTTGTCGACTCAAATTTACTACTCGATGCGTCATTTTTCGTGGATGCAGTTACAGTTGCAGATTTCTTCTTATAATCTGGATCACACATAGACGTTGCGTGTTTCGCTTTACACTTTGCGCAAGATACATTTACTCGACAAAACCTTGAATTGTGATTCGACTTGGTACATCGGAAACAGCACCCTTTAGATTTTAAAATCTCTTTCTTTTGCGCCAGCGTTATTTTGCTATCACAATCCATCGCGCCATGATCGTTAGAGTTGCAAAACAAGCACTGTTCTTTTACAGATGTAAGCAAACCTGCTGCTGTGCACGTTTTATCACTAGATTTCTGAAATCTATTTTTGTGAACTGAATTTTTCTCGTTACTTTTAGGCTCATCTTCCAAAACTTTAGCCTGTTCAATTGATTCTACTTCTAACTTAATAAAGTTTAAAAGTTGAGAAATTTGATGTTCATATGAGATTTCTTTAGAACTTATGACACTTCCAGCAACAGACTCGTTATCATCATTATCATTAGTTGTAACCTGTCGTTTGAGGAATTCAGTTCTCATAGTAAAGGGTAGTGCTTTTAATAAAATAGATTTCACCATCATCCCATAATTTTGTGGAGACACTCCCAGCGTCTGCAGAGATCGCGTTATTTTTGAAGCTGTATTGTATAATTTTCTCAATGAAACATCATTTGTGGTTTTGACTGGAGTTAAAGCTAACAGCTGTTGAGTGTAGTTATCGGCAATTTTTTCGTTATTTCCGTACTGCTCCTTTAAAAGCTCAACTGCATCTTTATAGCTTGAACTACTGGACGTTAAACCTTGAACGGTTATTGAAGCATTTCCAGTTAAAACAGACTTTAAATATGTAAACTTAGAAGATTCCCCTAGATCGTTATTATTGTGAACAGCAGTCTCAAACTGCTCCCAAAAGGCAGGCCACATTTTATAATCACCGTTAAATTTTACTAATTCTAATTTGGGTAATCTCACCGCCCTTTTGGTTTCTGCCCTTGTAGAAGCTGCTCTGGCTGCACGTCCTTCGGCTGTAATGGACCCCACGTCTTCTTCGGCGTCGACGATGCTGGCTGCATATTTTCCACCCGCGCTTGATAGTTCGAATTCCAACCTGGCAATCGCTGCAACCGCCTTATCTTCGTATTCGATAATTTTCTCGCACTCTGATTCAATCTTATCGACGGGTATCTCACTTGCTACTTCAATATTTACGCGTTTTAACGAGTCGTTCACCGATTTCAGTCTGTTAATTAAAACAATAGCTTCCTTGTGGTCAACCGGCGCGTTATCATCAGACATTTCGTTAGCCCGATCCACAAGTTTCGTTAGCTGCGTCCGATACGTTTTCTTTAGCGCTTGATTCATGATATGCTTCAGTTAATGCACTATTTTTGACAAACAGTTCACGTTATGACGTTAATCAAATTTTTACACTTTAACTGTCAATACCGGCACGTCCGTTAGAAACCGAATTGTCCGTTATTAAAGTTCCACGATTCACTTTCCTCTTTCCCGGGTTTCGGCACCATGAAAAAAAGCATCGACAATTGGTAAAACACGGTATTTTAATAGTGCTTTATTTATCAATGAATTAAACGAATTCACAAAACAAATACGTAGGTACAATACGTTACTACGCTAATATCAATAATTCTCGATCTTCCTATTTTTCCCGCCTACTTCTTTTTTGCTACCCTTGATTATTCACGGGATTTTCCACAGTAACATGTTAGCAGCACTATACAATTTTTCAAAAACCTATTACAGATACATCGCTAAGCATTAATCTGATATCCTGTCCTTAAAATAAAATGGTAACAAACGTGCACATTCATTTGTTTTATTTTAATGTACGATATCTAGATTACTGTTATTGATGTGATTATAATAATTTTTTTTTAAATTTTCTAGTATTAGGGTACTAACCTGTTACGTCATCAAAAAGAGAAAAAAAATCTCTATCAAATGAGTCTAATGAAAAGGTGCACTGCCATTTAAAAAAATTCAATTGTTTTTCGTTAGTCATTTGTTTTCTGAAATAAAAACAACTGAATGCTGCCTTATTATGAGAAATCAAATAAAACTTTTATATAGACAATTTTTGAATACACTCCATATTTAGCGAGATATATACCCATACCCATACATAATGGGCACTCTGCACATTACTTTATACAACTGTGTGGTTCATTGGCAATTAAATAATGTAACTAAAGTTGACCTACTTGCCAATGGTTTTAAACAGGAACATAAATCGCTTTAAATTACTATCAGCAAGGCTAAGGGAAGAGCATATACATTGTACATTATGTAAAAGCAAAGCAAATAAAAGTAATAGAGATAATGGTTGAAGAAATTGATTTGAAAGAAATAGAAAAATTATGGGTAGGGGTAGTATCAGATTGGTTACAGGAAGTTATGGAAAATATACTGAAGTGCGTTATAGAGAATTGGAAGGTATAGGCGGCAGATAGAAATAATTGGAAAAAGCTCGTAAGTAAGTAAATCGCCCACACCGTTGAGCTGAATACGGGGACTTCTAATTCACCTCTCAAAATAGTACATTCCTTCAGTGAAGAATCGGTAAAATTACCATGACTTAATATATGTATATAAATTAAACAATACATCTATAATGGAAGCCCTTTTATTTTGCACTGTATTGTATACTGTATAGTGAATGAATGCCCTTAAGCTTAAGTCCATATTCATGATTCAGATCTTGTAATGAATATTCTTCCTTAAAACAATTACTCTATCCTTTTAGTAGGAGTTAAGTCAATATGGAATTGGTAATTATAGTTTCAACAAAAATTTGCCATGTACGGTTAATAAATTTCATTTGGTGAGAATATCAGTATTTTCATCGAAGGTACATACCTACGAACGATATAATAGAAAATTTGTGAACGTAAATACCTGACATTGCACGTGCGGGGCTTTATTCAATTTTTGAAACAGGCATTGACCTGAAGTATAATTTCAATTCGTATTGTTAACTAAATTGTTATTCTAAACGTTTTAGCTGCAACGACGCCACACGAAAGTAGGGGCGAGGAAAATTCGCAAGAGAAAAAAGCTTCGATCCCGTTGTCATCCCTCGGGAATTCTAACATAACCGTATATTTTGGATACGCCAACAACCCGTTTGGGCCATCAGTACGTTTCGGGCGCGGAAACGTAAAGTAAGTGAATAAAAAAAAATTATTTGCAGTATGATATTACCATAAAGAAATAGAAAACGGTAAAAAGGGTATTGGTATGGATTTACATTTAAAGAAACTAAATCGAAGTGCGTCTACTTGTAGGTAGTTGACATTTACGTTGAAATTTTTTATTAGACCAGGTTGCGGCGAAGGCTTATTCGTTGCTTTCTTGATGGAGATCCTGCCAATTTTGATATTAACGTTACGATTGAGCGCATATGATTGCATCTGTCAACGGATAGACGGGCATGAGTGTCGTTAAATTAGCTTTCTGAAAATATCGGCCGGTGTAGGAAAATTGGGCTCCGAAAACCCGCTCCCGGAATATTCTGTCCCTCCCGATCAAAAAATATAGATTTCATTTTATTTTTCACTTTTTGCCTTTAATATACATTCATCACACGAGATAAACAAATAAATCTGCCAAATATCGCATAGGCTTTACAAAAGAATTAAATATGGAAGTTTATACAAATCAATTTAGGTACCAAAGAAGTAATATCTAAGGTTACCACCCTCGTATGTCGTATGTATGGTCCTTAAACTGGTAATAAGAATTAAATGGAAATGGAAATTGCGGTACCCAAATATCAGCCAAAACCTAAAGAAAGGTAGGTACACTCTAAGTATATGAAATACAAATGCCGGTACTTATGATAATAAAAGAAGAACTCAAATTATTTTCGAGGACAACAAGTAATAAACCGTGAACAATAATAATGCTTTGTAATGTAATGGAGAGAATAAATCGTTACAAGTTTCTCAAAGTCAAATCATTTACTAAAATATGAATATTACTTTATTTTTTTCGCTATGTCAGAAATCATATGATTGAGCAAAGATTTGTTTATAAATTTAAAGAACTTCTTAACAATTAAAATGTCAATATTTCGCAAATCAATGGGAAAACAGCTTACCCCACAAATTTGTCATCCGAAAATTGACTGCCTCAATGCCGTTTGCCAAACTTTTGAGATTATTGAATTTTTTAAAAGATTGATTTACAAATTGGAGAAAATGGAAATTCGACGGCCACGTTAATGGTTGAAAGAAAAACCTAGTTCAAAAGGCGCAATCCTTGATGACGCTTGGGATGCCTGGTGAGCAAATTGAGTTAACCAATGACTGTCAGATATCGAAAGAAATGTGGGAGAAACTGCAGAGAATTCACGTGACGCAGGGACCACTAAGAAAATCAACGCTGATCAGAAAGTTGGCAGTAACAAGACTAGAGGAGGATTTAAGGAAGCAGGAATTTAGAACTCCATAGTTTCAAAGAAGAGTTTCGAGAGAAATCTATCGGGGAAAGTGAAAAGAAAAAGAAAGAATTTCCTGAAAGTGCCACCAGTGTAAAAAGAAAAGGTACATGGCCACATTTTGCAATCATAAAGAGACAACAAATGGCAGCATCAAGAGCTAATCTTCTCTTGCATGATTATTCCAAAATAACGTTCACGTTTGTAGGTAATTTGTTTCTAGCGCGTTTTTTTGAGGGACAACTGTGTGAGGTTACAAATTAGGAAAATTTCTGCTGTTTCAGCGACTCCCACTTAGAATACGTTGATGAATCTCCAGGAAACAGTAACAGCAGCGCCTTCAACACTGACGCTGATACTGAAGAATATAATTTTTCAAACCGAAGAAAAAGAGGCGTGATTCATCTCTACAATATGATCAGTTGCGCTACAGGATGCGATCCCTTAATTTATAAGGGCTACGGATGCTATTGTGGATTTTTGGGTTCTGGATACCCAGTAGACGGAATTGACAGGTAAAGCACTCATACAAGAAATTATATAATACTGGTATAATCCCCCGTGTACATTTTCATTAATAACATTAATAAATTTACGTAAAATGTCGTAGGTGCTGCAAGAAACACGACCGATGTTACGATGCATCCGATTGTCCGACATTTTTAGAATATTTTATTCCTTTTTACTGGAAATGCTTCAACAATAAACCCATTTGTGGGAATGGTAAGGGCAAATCTGGTCAAAACTACCGATTCGTTACAAACTTCTGTTGCAGCAATAGATAATGATGAATGGAACGATGCAGGATCGTGTGCATATAAAATATGTCGTTGCGACAAGATGCTTTCCGAATGCTTAAGTAAATATCCTTGTCCATCCTCCAGAGCACTCTGTCACTCGTCTCCAGTACGACTGCTCCAAAACGCACTTATGGTGCCGTAATTGTCAACGTTCGTGCTTAAAATTTTAGTCTTTATCCGTGTACATAATCTAAACATTATAGTAATAATTGTATATGTGTATTATTAACTTGACACCTTTTAATAAGACCAAACATTTTCTCAATTTTCTCTTCGTGGTTGCGCAAACGCATCCCAACATCGGTATTTGTTAATATTTCAAATAAAGTTGTCTGCATCTTAAATAAAAATGCGGATTTTGGAGTACATAAAAAATTAATGTTGCAAAATTAACAGTACGCTTTGGGCACACAATTTGTGGACACGATTCTCTAGAATTGTTACAGTTTTTCAGGGTCTACACGTTCACAAGCTTCGAGGCTCGTTTATCATACCAAATCCTCAAAAATATCCATAAATAATGATTTTATAGATTTTATAATTTTTGATTGGGCGTTTTATTAATGGATATATCTCTCACGTTCAGCGGCCAAGTAATGTTTTAATATTAAATTAAAAGAAATGTATAAAACAAGTTCCAAAACCAACCCTTAAGTAGAGGTGGTTTATTTCGTAAAGCAAGTAGTTATGCAAAATCCATTATATCGAGCTCAGTGCCGGACCTTAAGTGAAGTTCGATCCAAATTATGAGTTGCTCTCGTTGAAATAAATATAAGTGTAGTACCCCCTTTTCTACGCATCTAAACCACAACGTTTTAAAGACAAAAAATCACGTACTCCACCTCGCACGCCGCCAGCCAGGGGCGAATCCGTAAATCGTCATTCATTCAAAGCTGATGTTGTTGCCACTTGGGCCCGGGATGGGTGGGACATATTTATTTCAACGAGAGCAACTCATAATTTGGGTCGAACTTCACTTAAGGTAAGTTCGTTTGATCCATAAATTATAAGTTGCTCTCGTCTCATAAATATAAGTGTAGATCTTGAAAGAAGCAACAACATCTAATCAAAGTATCATAACTTCATCAAAACCTATTAGGTTACTAAAAGTGCCTAAATTAGAATTGAGCGTTCTAAAGAAATCAATACACTGAACAAAAATTTCGGTGCTTCACTATTAATTAAAGAGGACTGCACTAGCAAGTCCTGTAATTTGTCAAAGGGTCTAAGTCTTTTATAAAATCGAGCAAACGTCTGTGACTTTGCCGACCAACTAGCAATAGTTATAGAAGCTGAAGCATGCCGAGTATTGTGTGCAGCAAACAAAATAGTATCCATCCCACTAGATTTTAAGACATCTTAATCCACCTGCTAATTGACTGACTCGACACCTTCTGAAGGGATCTCTTGTGGGCTATAAAAAAANAGAATTCTAATTGTATAATTAATAGTCTTAAGCTTTCGAATGATAATGTAAATAGCTATCGTCTTAAATAAATTTGACGTTTCTTCTTGTCAGAAAATTATCAGTTGCTACGCAACACTTTCCGGCATTGTGATGTAATAGATCACTTTCCGGACTCAAATGAATGATGTAATGTACTGTATAGCGGACAGTATGAAATAAAGGAGTTTCTACTCATATGGGTTAATGAATACATTAAACGTTCCAATTTTATGAAGTAAGAGTATAAATTCTTCACATTATTGGATAACAGCAGTGAGTAATAATTAATCACTGGGCATGGCTTTAAAAAAACTCACCGCAGCCAGCCAATGAGAAAGATTCATAAAAAACAAAGAATCGATCTGTCAATTTATCTGGTTGTAACTTCCCTTTGTATCGAAATATAGGACTTGCCCAAATCTAAGAATTAGATTTAATAACACAAAAAACAAAATGTGAATGCAAAATTGTATAATTGAAAATCAATATTAAATTAAATAAAACATCCCATGCTAATTTAGACCGGTTTTAATATAAATTAAGTTGCTGAATTGAACTCAAAGGAAAAGATCACTGTATTACCGACGCATCGAATTTGAAAGTGTCAAGATGGATAGCGAAAATGAAAATAATGAAGTTGTACGCCGCCGCCAAATATAACAGAAACGGCAAAAAAATTATGTTTAAATTTATAGCCGGAAAAGTCTAAATATCTTAGATCGATCTAAGCTAAATATAAATATGAAAATTTGAATATTTCACTCGCATTTTCTCGACCTAAAAGACAACTACTTACTACTTACAAAAGGATCTTCAAAGTGTAAAAATAGGAAGTGAGGTGAAGTATTCGTATACAAATTCTGTTACTTCGTAAGTCGCACATGCCTGTTATTTTGTCGTAGTTTTGGTAGTACCCGCATTATTCAATGTTTAGGCGATTAGCTATAATTACATATAGCAATAAACCCACAATTTTAACGATCAAATTTTAAGAAATGAGAGACGAAAGCTTGGCAACCTTTTGACATCTCTGATATCATCTCAATTGTCACACTGTCACAGTATGACCAACTTTAAATATTTATAAAATAACTCAACTGCAATTGGTATGGTAACAAACGTCAAGTTTCAATATTTTCATTAAATTTTGCCAAATATTCGTAGAAAAAGTATAGTATTCTATTCGCATGTAATGGCTATTACTCATTCGAAAGAATTACGGCACTCGCCTTCGGCTCGTGCCGCAAACACATTCTCATGAGTAATAACCACCATTACATGCTCATGGAATAATATACTATTTTTTGGGATTGATCTACTACATCAAATGCTTTAGAATAATCAAAAAAAAGTCCAGTGACTTTTTTCCCTAATTCGAGATTTCGGAAGATACAGCGTACAGATGAAAGGACTGCATCTTGGGTGGATAATCCTCTTCGGAAACCAAATTGATGCGGATACAGGATCTTGTGGCGTAGTAAGAAGTTCATTAATCGTGCATAAAACGCTTTCTCAAGAATTTTTGAGAAAGCAGATAGCAAAGATATGGGTCGGTAATTTCCAAATTCGTTTGAGAATAGACCATAATTTAAACAGTTCCAAGATTGGGCTACTAGTTCAAAACTTACAGCCCTTTGAATTTTCTTTCGAAATTGGTTTCTAGTCTATAACTTTTGATTGAGAAGTCTGATCGAAAAAGTACGAATTGTTTTGGATTCTACGCACCAAAATTAATAAGGAAAAGTTTTTTCCCGAGAAATTTTGGTGCAGTCGATTTTTGGAAAAAAGGAAGGTTATACCAAAGAGTAACCATGGGTACTCTTTGCTAGCACTCACACTTGAATCTGAAGTACTGGCTGCTAAATAGGTACCCAGAAATAACCCTACTGTGTTTTATTAATAAATGATGCTGGTTTCGTTCACAAAAGAAATAAGCGTCAGTAGTTCCAAATTGCCAATGCCAATTTGGGGAATTAAGTGACAAGTAATCAAACTAAGGGCTTATTCACTTTGATCATTAGCAGGCAGTTAGAAGTATGTGGATAGGGACGTGCAGTGTTTATTACTGGACCCCGCTGGGCAGGATAAAATATTCCTACAATTCATGCTTGGGTACCTGACGGTCTCGAAGTTGACGACTTTTATATTAACATAAGTATACATTATTTATTTATCTTACGCATTACTTTTAACGAAAAATTCGGTAACGTTATAATATTTTTGGTATAACAACACTAGGTTCTAGAGCATTCGAGTTAAGTGTGGTTTAATGGTCTTCGATTCAATTTCGGATAACTGCACATCAATGGGCATGCGGTCATCGTAAAGTGTTGGTGCTTGTAAAATAATTCCTGCTGTCCCAACGAGTACAGCAAGTGTGAAGATCCATAAAAATAGTCTGTCTAACACCATCGCTACGTACTTCCAATCTTCCTTTACCTAAAAAGTAAAATGACACTAACGTTGTTATAGCAAAGAGTACCTACCCATTTTATAGTGACGACAAATTTAAAAAATTTAAAACATAAAAAAGTCACGAAAATTTATGAATTTGTTAGTACGTTCTCTAATGGGAACAATAAAAAATTGAGCAAATAGAATCCGTTAGATCTATTTCCAACAAACTATATTTTGCTGGTGCTCCCCCGGCATATTGAATAATACGAATAATTCAGTTTACCCTAGTAGAATCCTCTTCCCTCTTCGTGTGATCCGCAATAAATCTGACACCATCTATTGCCTTATGTACCTCCGGACAGTGATGCCAAACATGCGAACCGCGACAAAGAGCTTCCTCTAGAAGATCTTGTCCTAATTTACTGCCTAAATCGTCAATTAAATTTGCACCGAATGGAGGTGGAGTGGTCCCATGAATACGACAAGCGCTCAACGTCGATGCCTCTAGTTCTCTGTAAAGAACTTTGTAATTTATAGACGTCATAAAATCATTACCTCGGTGTCAGTTCATCTCTCGAGCTAGCACTGGGAAATAGACTCCCGGGATCTTCAAGAAACTCTATCGACTCGCCGTAAAAACTGGCGTCTCGTAATTCTAAACCGTTGCAAGTTCTGACCATTACCCTCTGACTAAAAGAATAAGGTCAAATTGAAAACGTCTAAGGTAAATTACTTACGATTGATACTTTCTCCTCTCGATTTGATAGTGTGGTCTACGCATTACTAAAAGCCTAGGAAGAATGTGTATAAAAACTCGACGCACCCATGGCGCCATTGTGTGTGTCTGAGGGGAGCGAAAGTGTACATTGAGCACGACAACGGTCACACATATACTGAAACAGATTCAAAAGCTACGTATACCAAGAACAAAATAAAATTCCGTAGCAATTATTTTTTACACAAATCCCTCTTCCAAACTTACCTAAATGTGTCTAAAATCATAGTAAATAACACAAACTTTCCGAGAAGTGGAACCACTAGTGAGGTGGGAGGAATAATTTCGGCTAGCAGTAGGAAGAACACGGTGAGCGACAACAGGATGGATATTGATAAGCTAACCTGAAATAAAGTGGCCATTTAAATACACTATCCCATAACTAGGCCAGGCTTCGCCGACTTTACCTTTTCTCCACTGTCGGAGGGTAAGTAGAACACAAGTACGGTGAGGAAGGAGATGCCCATACAAGGGATGATGAGATTTACAGTATAAAATAATGTTTTTCTTCGCATTGTAATATTAAACGTAATATCCAAATATGGTTCATCACAGCACGTGTAGAATTTTTCGTTTCTGAAACAAGTTCAATTTTTATAATCAAAATAATTCAATAATTCAAAGTTTTTACTCTTATTACCAAACAAGTGTATAAACCAAAGTCTTTAAACGTTGCAAGTGCTTTAAAGATCAATTATACACGCGTTTATTTATTATACATGCAATATAATTTAAAAATAAGGGAAAGAAAATGAAATCTTCTAATTAAGTGGGTTAATTATTCGTAACTCCACGATTGCCATGGAAATCTCACTTGTTTGCTTATAAACTTCTTAACCGACGTGTTACATAGTTGTCTACTCATTAACAATATGCTAGCTTTAGTGAATTAGTATTCTCACCTGACTGCTGGAACCTCTAAAATGTCCCACTCCACTGATTTATAAAAATCCCTTAGATCCACACCCAAATTCACTACGTTTGATCCTGTGACTTCATCTACATGTCGTAAATCTACCTGAAATAAATTACAATTAGTTTCATATTGCCAAAAAGAACGACTACAATAAATAAAATTTCGCGTTTATTGTACCTTTTACCTACTATGTTCACTTCGCCGAGTGGTGAGGCCAGAAAACGTTCCATGTTTGATAATGAAATACTAATGAAGATTAAGAAACTAACCTGAAATCCATCGTAGGTCCACGAACCAAACTTCATCACACAAGTCTGTTCATCAAATGGAAAATACTCTACGTCAATTTCACAAGAGGACTTGTAAATGGCAGGAGGCTTCCATTCGACACGACCAGTAAAATTTAAAGTTGCTTTCGTTGCTAATGTCACTTCGAAATTGCCATCGGCACTGTAACATGCAAATTAACATTTGCGGAATTGTATCACTCAGAAAATTATGAATGTATCTAATTAAACCGTAGGATTCTTAAAAATTTTATTGATTTTGCGAATGATGGGATGTCCAGTGTCCACCTGCTAATAAATCTATTTGCCAAACAACTTGTGTCATATTATTCACGAATAGATTTATTAGAAGGTGCTTTACTTAAATAGGAACCATCCATCTGATTGATCTTAGAAACTGGTGGTGAACAATGGTCTAAAAATGTACCTAAATCCAATTTGAGTCAAATTACCGTGTCATCAGATGATTGATTTTACTACACCAATAATCTATGAATCAACTAATCAATAATCTAATAATCCATTAAATCATAGTTTACCAAAGAAATGATCGATCTATTAATAGAATACTTTAAAATCAATTAGTCGATTGTTTTGCACTGGCACAGACAAACATACAGACAAAAACACAGGCACACAAATTTTAGTGCTTTTTTCAAACAACAATCATTGTGCTAAACAGTACCTACTATAAAATAAAAATAAGAGTGTATTATGTAACTGAATTGAAATAATATCGAATATTATATCCATTTTATTCGTGTGCATATCATCAAATAAGAAATGGCGAAAACTGACTTATTATAAAGCACTATATCGGGTCTCCATATGTGATCAGATGGAACGTGTAACATTTCAACTCCTCCGTACTCTTTTGGGTCCCATTTCAGCTTATAATCGAACCACGACTGAAACAAGTTGCATATATTAGTATCCTTTAAGGCATTCGCTATCTATGTATCTGGCTTAGAGGACCAATAACATACTAATTGTAGTAACAGTATTCACTTTGTCTACACTGATGGAACGCCCTGATAAGGCTACTCACCTGCTCGACCCAGAGGTTCGTTGTCATGATCTGATTCTTAAGGTTCTGAAACAATGAAACAAGCACAATCAAGTACAATTAACCTACTTATTCTCAACGGTGAAACATAAATGCGGCGACCAGTGCGGGGGTTATAGGTTTCAACCTTGCATTTTGTGATAACTTTATGAAACTTTCAGAGGATGTTCTAGACACCCTAAGGTTCACTTTCAGCTAAGCCGCCACCCCCGCAACCCCGGACGGCACTTGTTATAGCGAGTTTCTTAAGAGCAAGGTAGCATTTCAATACCCGCCCATAAAATGGGTCAAAAATGTATATCGAGGGTTTGTTTTGTACTTTCTTACATCTAGGAAGGTTGAAGGGAATTGTCAAATACCCAGGGAGAATTTATGTAGGGTATTTTACGTGGTTTACCTATTTTTAAGGCGCTTTTAACAGTGCGGGCAGTAAAATCGCGACGGAGACCTCTTTTGGCTGCTCTATTGAATATTATACTATGCTCTAAAGTATTTATTGATACATTTAAATGCTGAAAGGAAAGTTAACGATAACTATGGCACTAAAATTATTGACCCTATCTTGAGAACACTCGCCTCCGCAGTCGCACAATTCGGTGCAGGGCATGTCGGACTTGGCACAGCTGCATATTTGTGTGCAACCTTTTTTAAGAGAGGCGGTAAGTAGGCGAATAGATGAATTTACAATTGAATCCTTATTCAACAAACAAACTTAATCTACATACATTCGCAGGACATGTATGGGGACATTGCCTCCTGGCGCAACAGCAACTTCCGGATCCGTGTGATTGAGGTTGGAGAAACTCGAGTGAAGATCAAGAATGGAAGCATGTCTGGACTTTAAAACCTCCACTTCCAGAAGCTTTTGTAATCTTAGTAAAATGTGGATGTAAGAAAGGTTGCACACAAAGATGCAGCTTTGTCAAGTCCGATGTGACCTGCACCGAATTGTGCGACTGCGGAGGCGAGTGTACTTAAGATAGGGTTCAATAATTTTAGTGCCGTAGTTATCGTTAACTTTCCTTTCGGCATTGTAAAGTCTCAATAAATACTTTAGAGCATAGTTAACTATATAATATTCAATAGAGCAGCCAAAAGAGGTCTCCGTCACGATTTTACTGTCCGCACTAGAGAATGCAATGCCGGGATTGCGGGATCCCGAAATACCGGGATCCCGCAGCATTTTTGCGAGATTAATCCCGCACATAAATGGAGCGGGATCCCGCGGGATTTGCGGGACTGAGGAATTTGTAGACCAAGGGGACGATTCTGTTTGCTTTGTTAATGAAACTGATAACGGCGAATTATTTTTTAAATAATTGTTAAACTTTTTTGTTAAAAATGTACTATGATTTTTGAGGCACTTTAGAAGAGTTTTTGTGCTTTACAGGAAGGTTTTTTTGAGTTCTAGGTTAGGCCGAAGGTACTTTTTAGCGCATTTTTGCAAAAAATTTTTTTTTGTAAAAAGTAGCTTTTAATCTCACTTTGGCTGGCTGGCTGGCTGGTCGGCTGGCTGGCTGGCAGTAAATGCGCGCCCGTAGAAAAACGCTTGTAAAAAGACAAGGAGTGTACATGTAACTATCGGGGCCGTGTAATTAAGAATGTTAGGGATGGGGCTACAAGATTTGGAGTCGACGACATCTGGACGCCATCCCCGAGCGTATTATACTAACCTGGAGATTTTTCAGTTTTTATCTATCTTCTTCTACAGTTTTTCTCCGATTGTTTTCAAATTGGTGTCGTCGGGAAGATCTTGTCAACGCGCACAACTCCTGCGTGGCGGAATGTTGTTTTTTTTCCTAGGGGCGAAATAAACCACCTTTTGCGCGGCGCGCTTCGAGGGGTAGTCGACTTTGGGCGCCCAAAAGTTTCTTACAGCGCGAATCGCGGTCTCTCTTTCTCGTGTCACTAATAGAAGGTCGAGCTATGTGAAGTACCCAAAAGTTGAATACGATTTTATGCCGGGATTTTAGCGAAATCTACCAAAATGTGAATTACGAATGAACGGGACGTCGGAACTGTGTATCGACAAAGGGAATGTGGTAACCCCCGACGAGATCTTACTGATGGTGGAGTCGAAACTTCAAATCCGAATTGTTGCGGGTGATCAGAAGTGGGTGTCGACAAAGGGAATATGGTAACCCCCAAAGGATTTTACTGATGGTGGAGTCAAAACTTCAAACGCGAATTGCAAGTGCACGGTAAGTGAGAAAATGGTACCGACAAAGTGAACGTGGTAGCTTTCGGCAAGATCTTATTGATGGTGGCGTCAATATTGGCTAATAAAACACTGATCTGCCACACAAAAATGCGCTGAAGTCCCTTGGATCTCACACGAGGACTTTGATCATTTTTTGTTAAATATTGTGATAATTAGCGATTTATTTTAATACAGAAGTTAACCGCTTATTTGCCAATTTATTTAAAGTTTTGCGAGATCCCGCAAATACCGTGATTGAGATTTTGCTGCGGGATTGCATTCCATACTAGAAACCAATTTCGAAAGAAAATTTAAAGGGCTGTAACTTTTGAACCAGTAGCCCAATCTTGGAACTGTTTGAAATTATGGATTCTACAGGCCACATTCTATAAGAAAAATTTTTTTCCGGGTCGATCTGAGTCAATTTTTTTTGAGGGTCTCAAAAAAAGGCATTGTATAACCTTCCTTTTTTAACAACAATCGACTGCACCAAAATTTCTCGGGAAAACACTTTTTCTTATTAATTTTGGTGCGTAGAATCCAAAACAATTCGTACTTTTTCGATCAGACTTCTCAATCAAAAGTTATAGACTAGAAACCAATTTCGAAAGAAAATTCAAAGGGCTGTAACTTTTGAACTAGTAGCCCAATCTTGGAACTGTTTGAAATTATGGATTCTACAGGCCACATTCTATAAGAAAAATGTTTTTCCGGGTCGATCTGAGACAATTTTTTTTTCGGGCCCCAAAAAAAGGCAGTGTATAACCTTCCTTTTTTACCAAAAATCGACTGCACCAAAATTTCTCGGGAAAACACTTTTCCTTATTAATTTTGGTGCGTAGAATCCAAAACAATTCGTACTTTTTCGATCAGACTTCTCAATCAAAAGTTATAGACTAGAAACCAATTTCGAAAAAAAATTCAAAGGGCTGTAACTTTTGAACTAGTAGCCCAATCTTGGAACTGTTTGAAATTATGGATTCTACAGGCCACATTCTATAAGAAAATTTTTTTCCGGGTCGATCTGAGACAATTTTTTTTTCGGGGCTCAAAAAAAGGCAGTGTATAACCTTCCTTTTTTACCAAAAATCGACTACACCAAAATTTCTCGGGAAAACACTTTTTCTTATTAATTTTGGGGCGTAGAATCCAAAACAATTCGTACTTTTTCGATTAGACTTCTCAATCAAAGTTATGGACTAGAAACTAGGGAATGCAATACCGGGATTGCAGGATCCCGAAATACCGGGATCCCGCATCATTTTTGCGAGATTAATCCCTCACATAAATCGAGGGGTTTGCGGGATTGAGGAATTTGTCGACCAAAGGGACGACTCTGTTTACTTTGTTAATGAAACTGATAACGGCGAATTATTTTTTATATCATTGTTAAACTTTTTTCGTTAAAAATTTACTATGATTTTTGAGGCACCTTAGAAGACATTTTGTGCTTTACAGGTAAGGTTTTTTTAAGTTCTAAGTTAGGCCGAAGGTACTTTTTTGTTAAATATTGTGATAATTAGCGATTTATTTTAAGTTAACCGCACAGAAATGCTTATTTGCCAATTTATTTAAAGTTTTGCGAGATCCCGAAAATACCGGGATCCCGCGGGATTAACAACTAACAATCTCGCAAATACCGGGATTGAGATTTTGCTGCGGGATTGCATTCCCTAGTGCGCACTGTTAAAAGCGCCTTAAAAATAGGTAAACCACGTAAAATACCCTAAATAAATTCTCCCTGGGTATTTGACAATTCCCTTCAACCTTCCTAGATGTAAGAAAGTACAAAACAAACCCTGGACATACATTTTTGACCCATTTTATGGGCGGGTATTGAAATGCTACTTTGCACTTAAGCAACCCGCTATAGCAAGTGCCGTCCGGGGTTGCGGGAGTGGCGGCATAGCTGACATTGAACCTTAGGGTGTCTAGAACATCCTCTGAAAGTTTCATAAAGTTATCACAAAATGCAAGGTTGAAACCTATTTTGGCTCTTAACCCCTGCACTATTAACAATATTGATAAATGGATTAACAATCATAGGAAAGATTGCAATCCCAATAATTTTTTAATATAACGCTATGCTTTCCCAGCAGTATTCTTCCGAAGAAGATACCAAACCGAAGAAAGCAAGCAACATAGAATATGATGTTAAAGGACCAAACCCCGAGGAGTCGATGGTGATCGTCTGTCTGCCCGTGAACACGATAACTGGCAAACAAGTTCATCTGCTCTTCCACTTTTTTAGATCTTCTTTATCGAGGTTTATTGATTGTTTTTTCTTTGCGCCCATACCACACACTTCCCTTTAACTCGTAACATATTCATGAATTTACAGTGAACGGTCCCCCGTACAAGTGCTGGAGTGATCCCTTTCGGCCTTCTTTTCCCACAAAAACATGTACCTATGCAACCCCGGAGAGATGAAAATTCATGGTTTTGCATGTTTTCTTGCTTGGAATGGCCGGAAATTTTCGAAGGAGGATTTAAGAGAGAGATTATTGTTTCTTGAAGCGCCGTCGAAGCAGAAATTCCCTTTGCAAAGTTCGGAGCTCTACTTTTAAACGTTTATTGCCAGGGACGCTACGCTCTCATTGGTTGGCCGTTCTGGCCAATAGAGGTGCGACACGTTTTAGTTTGCTGCCGGTTGTGCATGCGGCGCGTCGTCACATTCAAAATTATGATTTTAAAATGTGACCAACGAAATTCAGGTCAAGAATAATTTTCTGTTTATTAACGCTCAGTTAAATTGAACGGAAAGTGACCGTAATTTCCCTTTTTAATAACAGTTTAGGTAAGCAAGCAGGAGATGTTTTCGGTAACTTTCTAAATCAATTTGGCGAGAGATAAGGGTTAATAGCATCCAACATCATGTGTGCATCATCATATAATGTAATAAACGAAAGCGGCAAACTCGTTACATTATCTAAATTCACGCAGCTGATGTTACCCTATCGCAAACTTTAGGTATCTGAAGAGTTCATCTTTCTTTTGGTCGGATACATAAAACACTTATCTATAAGCCATTCTTATTACGATGGGCCAAACTACAATGCAGCATCAGAACCAATGGAAACGTGAGAACGTAATCACAAACAACGTATGCATAAGAAATGTCCACTGTCCAGTTCCCTTTCAGATTGATGTCATGTCATGGCATTTGCGTTTGTTTCAAGAACTAAACTTTAAGCTACAAACATTAAATTTGCGCTCCAACTAAATGAGTTTTGGAACAAATGCACAAACAAACTCAATTGAAGTCACTTTCATCTCATCCCTTTTGACGGAATGGTAATTTTGTTAAATAAACAACACATATAACTTTAAAAGGTTCTCCCTGGGTTGAGGTATAATTAAGCCATTTGCCGACGTTTTATTTCAAATTCAATTGCGAGTAAAAAAATGTCGAATACGTGGATGCAGAGAGGAGTGTGTGAATTTTAATATTTCATTTTCATAAATTGTAGATTCCCTCTGTAGGTCCTAGTCAATATTTATACTAGCACACTCTGCGAACTTCGTAAAATATTCTCATACCTAACAAATATGGGACAACAATTTCAGAAAAATCAGTGGAGCATTTTCAGCTTCTCACTTTCTATGTTACGCTTGTGTGATAGAAACCACAACGAAAAGGCTTAAATTGGAGGACTAGTAGTGGGTACAGACGGACAAAGTGCGGACAATAGCGTTCATTTTCCTTTTGGAAAATGCGCTAAAAAGTTCCTACAAATTTAGACAAAATACATGCCGTGTTTCCCTAGAACTCATGGAATAAAAGAACCGAGCAGAAGAAAATTCCGAATCATTGTCCTCAGAGGGTAAATATAGGTGAAAAATCTGGATCAATATCTACAATACACAAAAATTAACAATCAAAGGAAGTAACTCTTGAATTTTAATAATTGAAATCTGACCTTAATTTAATACGAAATTTGATATACTCAAAAGTAAATAAATAAATAAATAAATAAGTTTTTTTATTCCGATTAATACAAAAAAATGTACAATTATTATCAGTATTCGCCGCACTAAACAAATCACAAGTATTAAAAAAAGGCGTAACACTTTATACAGATACATACATCTAATGGGTAAAATTTTTAACCAATTCAAATAGATCTAAAAGCAACTCCACTCATTTCCCATTTGTGACAAATAACAAGTCTCTTACGTAAAGTACATGAAATACTTTGTTAATTAGCGGGACCTTCTGCAGTCCAGAAGGTATCTGAAGGTCCTGGATACGGTAACCTTAGACTGAAGATGAATGCCGCTAAGTAATTTTAACACTCCAGGATTTACCTCTGGATGGACGAAACAGTTACCGACGTTCAAAAAAGGCAGCAAAGAAATAAATTGACTAAAATTGATCAATTCCTGAATCCTTCACAAGCAATTCCTGCAGCTAGCCCTAACCATCAAGTTTTTTTAAGCTCAGAATTAAGTAACGTCAGAAGATCGATGTGAGGGTGCTATCTTTATTAAAGAATTCGAATTTTCTGGGGTGTATTTATAGTGAACTTTCATTTTTAAGATGGAGAACAAAAAAAATAACGATTTAAGTCGATATTATAATTAAATGATCACAAAAAATTCGATAGGTATGTCGATCATGGTATTAAAGTCTGTAAATTCGATTCAAAAAATTCCATGGCTGCGGGTGGTGGGAAAATGCTATTTAAGTTGAGTTCCATCACAATCAATAAGCATTATTGCAAGTATCGTAATATCGACTTAAATCGTTATTTTTTTTGCGAAATTTTCAATTAACTACATGTGAAATTAGATTACTCATTAATAGGCGGGGGCCGAAGGCCCAATCTTCAAATGAGTATAACTTTTGTTTAAAAAGTTAAAAAAAACTGTTCGACAATTTTGTGCCTTAACTCATTAAGTATGTACACAACAAATTTCGTGGATTTCTCTCCATTTTCGTTGTCCGGCCAGAATTGCAGTGGAACTTTTTTTTCGAATTTTCAAAATCTAATTCCAGATTCGTCATTTTCATGTTCAAAAACCCCCAGATACCAAATTTCGTTCAAATCAGAATTTTTTCGCACCCCCAAGTAGGGATGCGCCCTTTCGTGGTAAGAATTTTGAAAAATTTTTCAAAATCGGATAGGGCATACCCGAAAACCTATTCAAAGACGTGTAACTCTTATGGTTGCTGAGAAAAAAATGAAAGAAGAAACTCAAATTCCTTTTTCCAAGAAAATTACTGCACAAATAACGATTTCGGCATCTTTTGGGTAACAATATGTTTGCTCGTTATGCACATAGACCACTTCTTAGGCATAGAGCAATTGAGTTTGGCCGTTTTCTCAAGGAAATCGGTGCGTAAATAAGTTAATCTTGCACAGTTGCACATCTGGTACGCGTACAAGCTTTCATATAGCGAAAACCCGTCTAGGGACTGAGCTTTAGCGCGGAACGACGGACAGACGGACGAAAGAATGAGGCACTTTCACTAAAAAATTAATGTACTACTTACAACATCGATGAGTTGTGATAACTTGAGTTTAATTTTAACAGTAAGTGCGTCGGTAACGTTGACAACGGGTCGTACTAATTTATTATAATTTGATAAGAGGTCATCGTAGAGACGTTTGGCATCTGGATTACCCGAAGATCCTGAAACAAAAGAAAAGTGAAATTTATTAAAATTCTTTCTTCTAAAATCAGTACCCAAACCATGATGACTGACATATGGCCGTAAGAAGTACTTAAAAAACGCACATGTTGTTCTCATCTGATATCTTTTAAGATTCAAAAATTTGAATTTTGGTAAATAAGCTCTGGTGTTTTCATTACTGCCTCTGTTATACAAATCAATCACAATCACCGAAAAAAAACACCTTAAGGGCCGATTCTACAATCCGAGAAAAAGCTATACATAGAACAAAAGTCGATCGTTGCGTTGGTTACCATTACATCAACCAATAGGATACATGTTACTATGGCAGTTGTTACAAGAATACCTTATTCTGCGAATAGGTGTAATTGTAGAACCGGGACTTAATGTGATTATATGTCATATTCGAAATAGGAATTCTAATGACAGTCTAATTCACCAATTTTTGCTCGTTTTATCTTAAAATGAAAAAAAAGATTATGTACAGCCGACATAATAACTCAAAAAACTGCTTTTTAAGGAACATGCTACCCCCAGATGCGTAATAACAGTTTCAGAACTCGTTTAAACGTGTGTTATGTAGTGTTAATAAAACCAATTGCTCCACATATTTTTTTCTTCTTACTTATCATAAAGATTAGCTATGTAGTTACTCCTTTATTAATAGGCTATGTAGAAAGATGCATTTTTTCTGCAGATACTGTTGATAAAAGTTAGCTTGGTTTGGGTTGCGTCCTTAATATAGGGCTTCATTTTACTAAATATAATAGTAGTCCAGTAAAGGACTACTTTCTTCGAAAGGAATCGATTAATTTGAATTTTAGTAGTTAGAGAATAGCCTAAGGATCTATTAGATTAATAAAATGCAGAGTATTTAATCTGTCGTTTAATTAAGTTACGCTCAGCGTCAATGCCGGCAATAAAGTGATTCTTATTTATACACACCCTTACATACTGTAACGTAAATTTAATTACGTCGATTATTTATTTACAATTAATTAACAATACATTTACGACAGTTTAAAAATGGATTTAATTTATAACGGTAATTACAATTTATCACTACTGCTACTTCATCCTCTTCTTCAGTGACGTTTTCACAAGTTGGCAGTTTGCATGAGCTTGTACACTTTAAGTTATTGGCATTACATAATGGTAGTTGTCACGATTTTGAACAAGAGCAGCTTGGTAATTCTACGTGAGGTGTATTTTTTGTTTACAAAATAATCTATGTCAAATTATCTTCCGATACTCTCTTGCTATAAAGCATTTAAACCCTTGACTCTAGTGCAATATGTTGACCAAGACGAATATCTTTTCTCTGTTTATTAACAGAAGCTTGAATATTGCTTTTTTCTTTAGCAAAATATAATCGGCAGTCATCCGTAGGATACATTATCAACATTATCTAATTAAATTGGATGGTAGATTTAAGACATACATTGAGAATAATGTCGTCCCGGGTATTGTTTAAGTGGATTGCTTAAATTAAAATTTGTCTTTTAAAATCAAATAAACCTTAAGAAGTGGAAAAAGAAACAAAACCCCTAAAATTGTGACTACCAAGTACCATCATTAAGAAAGTGCTTGTTTTACAATAAAACTTTTGGAAGAACATAATGAAGTTCGCGTGTCAAAATGAAATTAAATGTGTCAGTTTCGAGTTTCTATTTAGTTTTCTTTGTTTCTGTCTAATTTGTTTAATGTGAAAGTTTTAAGAGCCTTATTTAACTCATTCGTTGCCATTACGAAATAAGAGTGGTTTATTATTCTCCGATTTGAGTAATCATCATACCATTCGTTCGCTTGAACTGTCCGAGTTAAGTGGCAATGGACCTAGTCACATGTGTGAACGTACAGTGCTCAAGATCGATGCCATTTTTTTGGTTTATTTGAAGTGTTAATTTTTTTGAAAAATAAATATTTCTGCAAATGCCCGAAGTAGCCATCAACTTTGTTATTTTAAATAGGGGCTCCCTATTTTTTCTACATTTTAGGATTCTACGTCGAATTTGGAGTACAACGATACCCCATAGTTGACCCTTTGCTCCAAGGGCTTCGTCGATATTCAAGTTTTTAAGTCAAAAATTGAATTAGCGGTAATTTAAAAAATTTATTGTTTGAAAACGGTAAGAGATATTGCAAAATAATTTTTAATGCTTTATTGAGGAAAGATCGAAGTTTCTTATGGTATACGAAACCGTCTAAAAAAGGGAGACTACGTCACTTTTTCAAAGCTCTAAACTTTTAAATATTTACATTTTTCCAAATGGCACCCCCCTTTTTTAGCGCATTTTTGAAAAAAATACGCTATTATATTCACTATAATCTGGCTGGATGGCTGTCCGGCTGAGATCTCAGCAATTACAATAGCAAGAGACTTCAAATTTTTACTAAAAGCTTTCTGCTATAGTGTAGATGTGCCGGCTCTAGTTTATTTTGAGTTAGATTACTCATGAGATAGATAATTTTAAACTTCGCTAATAAAATACTGATCGGTATTACCAAAAAAGCGCTTTCAACATGCATACGCTGATTTACAACTTGTTGTTCACTGTTGTTTTCCTTTTTCCGAGACCTTTAATTTGATACAAAATGTCAAAAGCTGCTTCAAACGGTTTCCGAGATATTCCATGTTTTAATTACTTCTTGTAGCAAATTGATAAAAAAAATTAAGTCTCTTTGAATATCATTAAGCGATACAGTTGAATTTGCAGCAAAATAAGCCAGTACAGATTATGATTTCTTCAGAGTCTGCCATAGGCGCTCAAAATGGAGAAGTAGAAAAGCAGAACAGAGACATTTTGAACGACTGAAGATTGGTCATTCCATGAGGACGAATTGGTAACAAGAACTTCTGAATTACTGAATGATGTATAACAGCACATTCTGTGACAGAAAAACGTCTTCGGAACTCTTCTTCCGTAAGATTTCCAACCTCAAAAATACCAGTATAAGTATCTGTGACGAGGAAGTTAAAGAGGAGGGCTATCGATAAAAGGAGAAAAGGAAAATACCTAGTGAAGATTTATTGAAATATTAGAAAAAACAAAAAAATAATTAATTAAAGTTTTATTATATTAAGGGAGAGATGTAGCATACTGGATTATTGGTCCAAGGTGATTATATAAAATATAATAAAAAAGTTTTGGTAATGACGAGATTTACTTTATTTCAGTTCAAAGGGACCGGTAGACATTGAAGAACCCTAAAACCATTGTATAAACCTTTTTTGATACCTCGTATATGTATTTTCCCGGATAAATGAGCGTCTCCAAACTAATCGGCGGTAATTTTGAAAGCTCGAGCCCGGAAACAATTGAATTTAGGTTTATTATATGCTACTTAGAAATTTTTCTTAACATTAAGAGAAGAACCGAAATATCGAATAACGTACAGGGTGTTCCATTAGAAAAAATGCAATTTTGGTGTGCCACGCCTTTATGGCGTACCCTGTATCATTAAAATTACTACTGCCTAGTAGACATTGACGAACCACAAAACTTTTCTTCATATCTTGTATATTTGCCTCGATAATTGACCGTTTCCAGACTTATCAGCGACCCCGTATAACGTTCATGTTTAAAAAACCCTGAAAGACGATGCATGTAGGCTGGGAGTGCTATTAAGGAAGCGCTGAAACGACGATCCAGGCTAGTGAGCGCTGGTAGTGTAGGTTAGAAACGCGCTATTTAATTGGTTGCACGACGGCTGGCGATCGCACGCGATGTTTCGCGACACCTCTTTTGCGAGCGCGCGATTTCATTGGATGGAAACCTTTTGGAACATTGGTGGTTCGTTCCGAAAAAAATATGTCTCGGTTCCCTCTAATCCCAACAAAATAAAATAGGTATTAATTATTATACAATTTCTTCACGTCACCAAAATTTGAAGTAGGTAATTCTGAGACCGTTTTTGAACCACGTTTTTGAGCAACACCTTCCCAACCTTTTGCCTTATGGTGAAGGAAAGTAGAACAATATTATTGTAACAAACCTAAATAAAGAGTGTTTCTATTGACTAAAAAGACTAACCTGATATGAGCACTAGGACGATCCACATGATCCCCACTAGGCTCTTCATACTTTCATGGTCACGTCATATCCGCATTGTGCTCCGTCAATTTCCTAAAAAAAAAGTCAAAATTAACCACATTTTAAACCAACTTTACATTAGCAATAGCTTGTTCCGTCAGAAGAATTGATATTCTTTACAGTTTTAGTCGGCTATACCTAAACTTTGCATAAGAATTCCTACTCAAATTCAAAGGTACTTAAAAATATATGTTAAGTGAGCCTATAGAATTACTAAAGCAGGTGGGTGGTATGACAAAATTGCTTTCTTTCCTGTACACTTTTTAGACTTCGAAAATATGGATCCGGTCGTTTACAAAAGAAAGCCATGCAACAGCCCTAACTTTTGAAAAGAATTTGAAGTAAATTAAAATTCCCGTTCCATTAGCTCTTTTGGTTTATTACTGAAACGCGAACCTTGGGGTGTATGCTAAATGTGATGTTAGAGATTTAAAGTGGATTCAGTATCTGCGAAAGCTGGAGTGTACAAGTGAGTGAGATGAAACGTTTAACCCTCTCAGAGTGAAAAGCCTCTCTCAATCAAGAAGCATATATCGATCACCGGCATTGTCTACGTATTCGATGAGATATATTCGTTTTCCAACAACCATTGTTGTGGTTAGTGGACTTTGATTTATAAATAATGCTTCAATTTTATATTGATCTTTAGGTACACTAATGAGTAAGGCATAGTTAACTTTGGGAAATGTTTTTTTTCCATCACAAAACGAACGTCTATAGTATACGGCATTTCAGATTAAAAGGGTATCTCGTAGGTATTGTTATGCAATATTAAAAATATATACCTACCTACCTACAACGGTATTTCAACTATTTAATGTATCGAGATCTAAGGGAAAGCTTCCAAATTGGTATTGCATCTTCTGTGCCTATACGGTTTTATTTCTTTACGACCAAAGTAACTCAATAAAACCTTCTAAAGCATGTCGACTTGAATAATGTATTTGAGGCAAACGGTTAGAGCCACGCGAATTATGTAAGCCTACGATCATTGAATAAATGTTCGTTTTATGACGGTCTACAACGCGATTATTAATTGTTTTCGTTTTTTGTTATAAAATTAAATTACAAACCTTTCCATATCCATATCCTGGTGCGATTGGTACATAAGAATAATCTAATCTCGGTATTGTTGAGCTTTACGTCCTTTCAGTGAGCTTAACTGGCATAAAAGTGTCTTAATAACTAATACTGACCATTTTTGTGGATATTATAACATTTACATAAGAAAAAAACAATTGCTTTTGAATTTTTACATACATTTTATATAGCAGTGTTGAGAAAAATGGTATAAAAGCAAGATTGGATGCCACCGCTCAATTCTATAACAAAGTTTGTCCCGTATTATTACTTCGCGAAATGAAAAAAAGTTCGCAAAACAACTAAACTGTCAACTTTGTCGTAGAAGTGAGAATTAACAACATATTGCCATGTTTTGACAATAATAATGGACTATTTGTAAGCAAACGACGTATTTTGTGGCTAGATAAAGTACTTATGTATCGTTTCTTTAATAAAAAGCAAGATGCTTTGTAAGCTTTAATCTGGTTACTTCTTTTAAAAATTGCCCAAATTCCAAATATATATTTGGTCGATATACATTCACCACCCACATCCTTTACACTGTACAGAGATTACACGAATAGTTTGAAATATACCCTTTTGAAGTTTTTACTGAATTAGATAATAAATGATTTTAATTTTTAATAAATTCTGGACATCTTCACAATTTGACCAAAATACCTAGGAGTGCCTTGGACGTAAAAGACAAAGTACGATCATTGCTGTAAAAGTAAAACAAAAACACCTGCAAAGCTGTCGTGATCAATGCGACTCTATTTATACCAATTACAAGTGTGAGTTTACGAGATCTGATTGGTCTAATGGACCTCCTTCATAATGAATCATTAAAACTTTTACTACTTACTTAACCAGATAAATAGGAGTGGAGTATAATACGCGTATCTTCAAGCATTACGTGTTGCAACGCTACATTTATCCCCACGATTATTTTTGAAGTGAGCCATATACTCTTCAAAAAACATTTTCAATGATTTATTATTATTATTATTATTTACAATTTAAATCTTTCCAGTTAGTTAAAATTTTTCCGGAACAATGAAGTGGAACAGTGACCAAATAATAAAGTTTTTAAATGTGTATGAGAAAGTTTGTGGCCAGAAGGTGTCAAGGTAGCGCGGTTTTTTCAAAAGCGCCTGACACCACTGCAAGAGAGATTCCCTGGACGAAGTGTGATGATAACTTCAGCGTTTATCACATCAATATACAATGTTTATCGAATAAAATTGACGAATTTAATCTATTTCTAGAGGACAATAATTTCAATGTTGTTTGTATTTCAGAACACTGGATGACTAAAACTCAATTAGAGATGATCAACATTTATTCGTATTGTTTAGGTGATTCTTACTCTAGGACTGATCATATTCATGGTGGGGTAAGCATATTCTTAAAGAAAACTTTAAATTTTAAGCCCGTACAACTTCAAAAATACGTTGTTGAAATGCATGCAGAATTCTGCGGTATTGAGATAGTTTCTAATAAAACATTAATTATTGTATTATATCGTCCCCCAGATGGGTCGGCGGAAATTTTTATTCAGAATCTTGATCAATTACTGCATGATCTCTGTAATAATTTTCAGAATATCGTAATACTAGGCGATTTTAATTTATGTTTTAATAGACCTGATAAGACGGTAAAACAATTGATAAACATCTTTGGCACATATAACCTTAAGATTTGTATTTCGGAGTTCACTCGTGTTACCTGCACCTCTGCTTCTTGTATCGACAATATTGCAACGAATATTGACGATGATAAATATCTATCGGGTGTTGCGAAATGTTGCCTATCCGATCATTATGGTCAGTACATATTTCTAAAGCACATGGACATCGTGTCTAGACCCGAAATATGGAAAAGACAATTTTCAACTTTTAGAATAAATGATTTTCGCACTTCTCTTTCACAAATCAACTGGAACGATATTAAATACAAGGGGTTCGAGGTAAATAGTCGCCCAAACTTCCTTAATGATACTCTCAGCACTCTTGTAAATCAACATTTTCCTTGTCGTAGATCGATAGTGAAACCAAATTCTAACGTTACGTGGTTTAATAATAATTTGAAAAAAATGCGAGATTTAGTGAATGCAGCAAAAATAAGAGCAGATGTTACCAGGGACCTATTACATGCTCAAAGATATAGGTTACTAAGATGCAATTATCGGAAATGTATAGTGGTTTCAAAAAGGGAAGCTTATGAAAATTTTATTAGTGCGTCCAAGAATAAAAGTAGAGATGGTTGGAAACTAATTAATATGGAAAGAAATAAAGTGAAGCCAACTGAAATTATGCTATCACATAATGAGTTAAATTCCCATTTTGTGACAGTTGCCAGTAAAGTAGGTACTTAGCGAAATCCCCGCATCGAGTAATCAGGTTGCGGATTATTTAAATAAATATCGTTCTCCTTCAAGCTCTTTTTATTTATCACCTTGTACATATGAAGAGGTTGTAAATACGGTAAAAAAGCTAGGAAAAACGAATAGTCTGGACGTATATGGCATAAACGGTAAGGTACTACAAAACTCGATAGACATCATTGGTAACTTTTTCACTGACCTACTGAACGATTGTTTCTTGGAAGGTGGAGTTCCATCCTGCTTTAAAATAAGTAGAGTTATTCCTGTTTTTAAAGAAGGTGATAAAACTTTAAAAGATAATTATAGACCAATCTCAATAATACCAACACTCTCAAAAGTTGCCGAAATCTTAATTAAAAATCGTCCAATGGAATTTTTAACTAAACACTGTATACTTAGCGATAGTCAATTTGGATTTAGACCACAGCATTCTACTATAAAAGCAGTACTTTCCTTAATTGAATATATAATTGGGGCTCTCGAAAATAGAGAAATACCAATAGCGCTTCTTTATGATCTATCGAAAGCCTTTGACTGTGTGCAACCATCCATATTAATACAAAAATTAAATCACTATGGGATACGTGGTAAACCATTGCAACTATTCCAATCTTATATGACAAATAGAAAGCAATGTGTCTCTTATAATAATTTCGCATCTAGCACTGAACCCATTCTGTATGGAGTACCGCAAGGGTCGATACTAGGACCGGTATTGTTCTTATTGTATATAAACGATCTATCAAATATAATTCATCCTCACAAATGCATTCAATATGCTGATGATGTTCCGCTATGGATAAAGAACAATTAACATCCAGCGTAAGTCTAATTGAAGAGAGAGCACAGGAATGGTTGACTACAAACAAATTAAAAAACAATCCAAATAAAATGCAAAAAATAACTTTTACTACAACAAAAAATAAAAATAACAGATCAAATGTAAAGTTATTGGGGATACTTATTGATAATGAACTGAACTGGGAGGCTCACATCGATAAACTTTGTATGAAGCTGTCAGGAAATATTTACCTTTTAAGACAATTGCGAAAATCATTAGATGGCGCTACATTATTGAGCTGCTATTTTGCAGTATTCTACTCCATAATAAACTATAGTATTATTTTGTGGGGCGGAACTGCGTGTGCATTACGAGTATTTAGGTTGCAGAAAAAAGCAATACGCATCATAGCTAGACTTGGGACTAGAGACCATTGTCGTGACTATTTTAAAGAATTAAAAGTTATGCCAATACCATGTATGTATATACAGGGTGGTGACTTGCGTAACGCATCATAGGGATTTCAATGTAAAATTCATAACATGCGATTATTGGCTCCCCAAATTATTTTAGAGCAAAAATGTATTAAGGTTTTTTGTAGGAAAAAATTTTTTACGTCAATCAACCGTATTAGTTTTCAATTTTTTGCATAATAAAGACGGAAAATTGGAAAAATAAAACCCGCATCTTTTCAATAATCTGCGATGCCATGGAATTTTCTAAAACAAAAAGATATTCAGTTATCAATTAGCACCAGTTCGAAATGGATTTTATGATCGCCTTGGTTACTGTCTTGCAGCGAAT